ACTTTGAAGCCATTGCAGATGACTACTTTGCATGGAATGCCCCCCCCAAGTTCCACCCATGAAATCTTATTTATCTTAATTCAGCTGAGATAATATCTCCTCTGAGAAGTCTTCTCTTCTCTTGACGACTATCTCACAGATGAATTTGAGTGTCTAAATGAGTTAGATAGGACTACCATAACAAACCACCACAAAGCGAGTGGCTTTAACCACAGAAATTTATCTTTTCTCCAAGTTCTGAAGACTGGAAGTGTGACATCAAGACAGAGTTGGTCCCATCAATGAAGAATCTGTCCCATGACTCATTCCCAGATTCTGGTGACTTCCTAGCAATCTTTGGCATTGCTTGGCTTCTAGATGAAGCTCCCCAATTTCTGCCTTCAGGTTCATATGGTATTCTTCCTGTCTGCATATGTCTAAATTTCTCTGGTCATATTGAATAAGGACCCACATTAATGACCTCATTTTAACTTCATTACCTCTGTAAAGACCTTATCTCCAAATAAGGTCATAGTTTTAGGTACTGGGCATTAGTACTTCAACATATCTTTCTCTGGGGAATACAGTTCAATTTATAAAAATATCAGTGTTTTCTCAGTGCTTCTGTGGGACCTTACAGTTCTCATAGTATTAATCAATTTAATTATAATGGTATGCCTAATTGCTTATCTGTTTCATCAGGCTATGAGCTCTAGAAAGCAAGGATTATGATTTATACCTTGTTGTATCTGTAGTATTTGAAACAAAATCAAGAACATAGTAGGCATTCAGAACATATTTGTCACAGTGTAAGTGTCACTCCTTTGAGCAGAGACCAATCTTTTCACATGTGCTCTGGACCTTGGACCTTATGGGCACTGGAGGGACCATATCTCTACAGTCTCCTGCATCTTCAACTACTCCCTCTCTCCTACCTTAAAATGTATTGTAATATTTTACATGGTAAAATACATCTTCCCCTAAGCTTTCTTTCTGTTTTAGCTTTAACAAAATATATTTCCTTTGGGAGCAAGATGCCTCCAAAGAATTATCTGTAGATTTTTTTTTCTTTCTTTTTTTACCCTTATTTATTTATTTGTCATTTTCAGTTACACATAGCATTAATAGTCATTTTGACATAACTATAAATGTATGGAATGTAATTTGTTCTAATTCAGTCCCCAATACTTTTAATTTGTTCCTTTGTCTCAATCCAATATTGCTTCTGCATGCACAACTCTACCAAAAGTGCCTTTAGTGAGGTCATCAATGTCTTCCAAGTTAGGAGATACAATGGACTCTTCTCTGTTTTCAGCTTACTCTTCCCCTCAACAGCCTCCAACACAATTTACCAGGCTCTCCTTGTTAAAAAATTCTTTTCTCTCTCCTTGCATGGTTTCTCTCCTGTCTATCCTCTCCTCGATTGCTGGCCATTCTTTATCTAAATAACCTCTAAATGAAGTTCCCATGGCTCCAAACTGGGCTGTCATCTCTTCTCCCTTTAAACTGCTTCTCTTCATGATTTCATCCACTTCATTCTTTTAAATACCACCTACATGTTGATGGCTTCTCAATTTTTATTTCTGGATCAGATATCTCTTTGGAGTTCCCGATCAGTATATTTAACCACCTACTTAGCATCCACTATCATATCAGAGCACTCTCATACAAAATTGTTATCATAATTTTTTCTCTCCTGGAAACCTGGCTCTATTCCAGAGTCCCGCCCCACATATCAGTGAATAGCACGAGCATATATTCAATTCACAAACCAGTAATCAGAAATTTATTATTGATGCTTCCTTCTATCAGTAAGCCCTATCAATTCTGCTTCTGAAGATATCAAGTTCAATTCATTTCTCTTCATCTCCCTCACCACACTTATAATCCACACTATCACCATCTCTCACCAGTGGCACTGCAAGAGTGTACTAGCTGACTTCCCACATCTATTAGCCCCCCACTCCCATCAAAAATCATTCTCCACATAGCAGCCAGAGAGATGTTAAAAAATAACATAGGTCTGGGCTGGGATTGTGGCTCAGTGGTAGAGCACTCGCCTAGCATGGGCGCGACCCGGGTTCAATTCTCAGCACCACATAAAAATAAAGGCATTGCATTGTGTCCATCTAGAAAAAAAGATATTCTCTCTCTCTCTCTCTCTCTCTCTCTCTCTCTCTCTCTCTCTCTCTCTCTCTCTCAAAACAAAAAAAATAACATGGGTCATGTTACTCTACTAAAATCATTCAAGAATTCCAATCTTACTTAACAAAGAAGACCAGCAAAGCACTGCATTTCTTGGTACTTGCCTACTTTCCCAGCCCAGCCTGCAAAATTCTCTCCCTTGATCATTACATTCTAACCCTGCTAGCTATTTCTCTATTCCCCAAACACTCTAAGATCCTTACCACTACAGACCTTGTTCCCTCTGTCAAAACCCCTATCCCAACCCTTCTTATAATCTCTTTGCCTGGCTTACTCCTATCTATCTGTTCTTCAAGTCTCTGTTCAAATGTCCTATATGAAGAGCTTTCTCTGTTATACCCAACACAATCCAAGTTAAGTATGTCTTCCTAGAATCCTTAACCTTTTCTTTATATCACAATATTAATTTATTGAGGGATTGTCAGGATACAGGTGGTAATCAAACCTGAGGAAATATAGTTAAGTGAGGGTAGAAAACATACAATCATTTGACCATTCACTCAAAAACTATTGATTCATTGCCTCCTGTATACCAAGTATTCTCTAGGCACTGGAGACACAGATAATTCCTCAAACTTAGGTCCATGGTGAATCTCATAGAGAATAGGAGAGCATCATTTAGCTCAAAGTATTAGATGGGAGAAAACAGGCAAGACTTTCTGGAGACGATGATGATGGAGCATAATATTAAAAAGGGGAACATTAGCTAGTTGCCATATAAATGTGTGCAGGTTTTCCTGGCATAGGGCAGAAGTAAGGATGCACATAATATGGTAAATTATGAGATGGAGATTATTGGGAGATGAGATTAGAGGAGCAGGAGCAGGGTGATGGAAGGCCTTGAGTCCCACACTGAAGAGCTTGGATTTTAGTGTATGCAGGTGGGTATCATCTGTCCATTGTACACACAGCACTATGTTGGGCACTTGAGGGTACAGCTGTAAATGACTTTCTGCCTCTGTCTGAAGGGTTCACAAACTCATGATAAGATAGGACTTAGGCATAAAAAGTACAGAGCAATTCCTTCTACATGTCAAATGAAGAAATATAAAGTACTCCTCAGGGGAGAAAAAATACAAATAGGACATTCCTAGGAGAAGGTATAGCTTGAGTTGGATCTTAAAGGATCAAACTACCGACATTATGAGCAGTTCTTTAATTCATATATCCCACTAAAAGTTTTGTTAGGTCTTTATATTAAGTTTTGCACATTAATTAGATAATTTTAAAGTTAAGGTAAATAAGTACATTAGAATTTTCCTGCTGAGATTTTTTTACAGGTACTTTTTTCAAGATCTACATATTCTATAAACAATGTAAGAACATAAATTCTGAGCAATTTGAACACCAAGGCCTCCAGACTATAATATCTCAGACTGAAACCGTCTACATTGTTCATTATTCTATTCTCAGCATCCAGCATAGTGTGTGGATAATATTAAGCTCTCAATAAATATTTTTGATTGAATAAATGAATACATGTATTGTATCCTTTTCCAGAGCAGAATCTTTTGGCTTTTTTCTTTCTCTTAGAGTGTAGCATTAAAATGCCAATTCATAATATTAGATAGCTGGAAACAGGTACAAAAGTAAGAAATAGAAGCACAAGTTAGTCCATCAAGAAGCTCATGTATATAGAAGAAAAAGGATCTGTGAGTAGAACAGAAAAAAGAAATGAAAATGCTGTAGGTAGTTGTAAATGTTGGAGAGACCCTAATCTAGAATATACTGCTGAAGGCAAGCCACATATCCAATAGATTGCTTTAAGTGCTTAATGCACAATCCTCTAAAATTAGTCTACTAGTGGGTTTTCATATATTCTGTTAGATTCCATCTTTATTTTGGTAATTCCAGGCCAAGTAGAGGTGCAGTATTATTATTAATAATCGTTGAACACAGCCACCCAGCCAGAAGGAAACAAACATGGTCTCCTCACTTAGGGAACTCCCCCATTCTTATGGGGGTAACATGATTCCACTTCTCCTCCAGCCCCAGGACCTCCTACTTTGATTTTTTTATATATTTTCCTACTTGCTTCAATGATTGAAGTTTTTGACTTGCCCTTTTAGGTGTATATGTTTGTGACCCTATTCAATAGCAACTGCTTCTTTACATATTATAGTTGTCTTGTGTTGTGTTTTCTTTTTCTTTTGTTTGTGTTTTCTTTTTAAAATCAGTATCAAGTCTCCTCAAATAAACAAAATCAAGAACTTCTTTTGATTTTTTCTTTTTTGGTGCCAGAGATTGAACCCAAGGGTGCTCTACCACTGAGTCATATCCCCAGCCTCTTTTATTTTTATTGTGAAACAGGGTCTCACTAAGTTGCTAGGCTGGCTTCAAACCTGCCTTAGTCTTCTGAGCCATTGGATTACAGGCATGCACCATCATGCCTGAATTTTTGATTAACATTTATTAACTGTACATATCAATGGGGTTCAGTGTGATATTTCAATATGGAAATTGAACACAAGTAAAATATACCTACCATTTCTTACTTCCAAGGTGGAGCTTTTGGGGGAGATAAATGCAATAATTATGTATTATTTATCCCAGAATGGTTTTCCCTCCCATCAACTTGGAAGTGCTTCTCCACAGTATAAATATGTTCAAGGAACACTAGGTCATCTCAAGTAGACTGGGACCAACTCATCCCCCAAATCATAAGATTTGGGGATGAGCCAATATTTGGCATTATAAAAACTATCATCTATTCTGTGTTGTCCTAATCTGATTGAGACTTCTTTGAGCATGGGAAGAATGCTTTGACTTCAGGCTGCTGTCAGGTTTTTTGGTTGAGTGGTGCTGTCATTGCAGGATCAAATTTTCAGTTTCCTTAGGGCATCCTTGACATCTTTGTTTTTGAGACTGTAGATAAGAGGATTACACAGGGGAGTGACAACCGTATACAGCAAGGAAAAGGTTTTATGTAGAGTTGTCACCTGGCCAGCCAAGGGCACAGCATAGACCAAGATTAAGGTCCCATAAAACAAGGTCACAACTACTAGATGAGAGGAGCAAGTGGAGAATGCCTTTTGCCTACCAGTTGTGGATGGCATATGCAAGACCACTGAAAGAATCCTCCAGTAGGAGGCTAGGGTTAGTCCAAAGGGGGCAAGAGTCACCAGGGCTGTTAGACTCATGCACACCAGGTTGACCAGATGAGGATCTGTGCAGGAGAGCCTCTGTAGAGGTTTCAAGTCACAGAAGAAGTGGTCAATCTCATTGTCCCCACAGAAGGTCAAGCTGGATACCATAGCACCCTGGAATGCAGCTGCTACAGTGAAGCCACTAAGCCACGAGCCAACTGCCAGTCCCATACACAAAGTTTTATGCATTAATGTTGGATAGTGCAAGGGCCAGCAGACAGCCAGGTACCGGTCATAAGACATCACTGCCAGTAGACAACATTCAGTGCTTCCCAGGGCCCCAAAGAAATAGAGTTGAATAATACAACACACCATAGACATTGCTCTATTTTCTCTCAACAAGTCTACCAGCATCCTGGGCACAATATTGGATGTATAGCATACCTCCAGGCATGAGAGATTCACCAGGAAGAAGTACATTGGAGTTTGTAGAACCTGTTGAGTGCTCACCAGCACCACAAGGAGAAGATTCCCAGAAATGGTGGCTAAGTAGACAATGCCAAACACTAGGAAGAGTAAGGGACTCAGTTCCTTAAGGTCTCCAAACCCTAGTATGATAAACTCAGTTACCATCATAGTGGTGTTTTCTGGCCTCATAGAGGGCAAAAATGTCTGAGGAAGTCTTTGCTTCTCCATAACAACACATCAGATCATATCACCACTTAGATTTCCCACATGGTCCAGTTCTGTCAGTGGGTAGAGCTCTGTATTGATGAGGGCATTTCTAGGGGACTGGTCCTCATCACAGCCAGTTAAATTTGCCTTCAAAAAACTGTTTCTAAAAATCAGCTGAACCTGTCATCTTGTCAGGATGTGAAATAGGGTAAAGGAGACTAACTGGGAAAAGGAACAGCTCAGTGAGAAGCAATCTCCATCCCTAAGAGAACAATCCAGAGTACAAACACTGGTAGCAAGTTGAGAGCCCCACATTCACATTAAAAGGAGATGTGGAGAGACTATGTTTGGAATTCTTAATGCCATTTTGAACAGAGGAAAATTATTATTAAACATTGACAATTCCAAGAAATGACAGGCCAGATAACAAATCATATTTATGTCCTTTTTGATCAGAGCATGAAATGACTCAAATGGCAGAACTGAAGCAGAGGATCATTTCTTTGATGTTACTGGATCATCCATGCCTATTTGGTGCCTACATCCATGAGGGAGCAGGACAGCAGTTGCCAGAGAGAGTAGATTCTGGAAAACCAGGAGTATCACCTAAAAGAGAATAAGAATTTCTTATTTTTAAATCTTGCTCCTAAAAGGATATAATTTAGGCTTCTGGGGAAAAAAATCCTAGCAGCTGATATTTGGAACTACTGGTTGGATTTGTGTTGCACACATCTAGGCACACACAGATTTATAGGTAGTCACACATATAAAGATTAAGACCACATGTTACCTTCTTTGCTGTCATTTTTAAATTTTGAGTCTCCTAGGTCATTCTTTTAGAAGTAAAATATTTGTTCCTTGGTAATTCTACCTTAATTCAAATATAATGACATTAGAAAGCGGACATGGGTTAGATCACAGGGTCCAAATTAGTAGGCTTTCCATATGGATTAGCAGCCCTGGGAGAGAAATTGGCATGTTTTCTTATTCAATTTTGTTTTGAGGTATTTTTCAAGGTAGTGTGGTATAATGACTAAACAAAGGAAACTTAGAGCCAGACTGCCTAGTTTGACTGTGTGACCTTGGGCAGGTACTTCATCTTTCTGATTCTCAGTTTTCTCATCTGAAAAACAAGGTGTTATGGATTTGAAATGTCCTCCAAATAAATACTCATGTGTTGAAGGCTTAGTTCCCAATATAGCCATGTTCAGAGGTGGAGCTTTGAGGAAGTGGTGGAATCACAAGAGCTCAGATTGCATCAGTGGATTAATGGGTTGATAATTGAATGAACTACTGGGAGATGGTGGAAACAAGCAGTGGGGCATGGTTAGGGGAAGTAGGTCACTGGGACATTGCTTTGTGATTTTGTCTTATTCCTGGCCCCTCCCTAGCCCACACTCTCTGCTTCCCAGCTGCTATGAAGTAAGCAGCTTTCCCCCACCATGCCCTTATGCCATAATGTTCTGCCTCACTTCAGGCCCACAGTGATGGGGCCAAGTGACCATGCACTAAAACCACTGAAACAGTAAACCAAAATATATCTTTCCTCCTCTAAGTTGACTTTCTCAGGAAATATTTTACAGCAACAAAAAGCTAACACTCAAGGACAATAAAAGTTATCTCAGTGTTGTTTTGAGTACACGGAAAGTAATTAGAATAGTGCTTGGCACATAGAAGCACTAAATAAGTATTAAAAACTTTTGTTTACAAAATAAAATTATTTATTAAAAACATCCCCACAGAAGGATTAACCAACATTCCTAATCACTGCACTGAAACGAGATAAACACTATAAATGCACAGGAGGAAAATTATACATTTCTCATTACATCTTAACCATTTCCTATCACCACTTAATTTAAAAAAAATTAATAATACATTTTCATCACTTGATTTTCACACTTAATTTAACTTGAATTTCATTTAAAATAACCTTAATATCTGTCTATGGAGTTATGTTAGGATTAGATGAGATCATGTATATAAAGTGCCTGCCACATGGAAAATGATCTGTAAATCATGACTAACAACAGTACTGACAACAATTAGCCTAGAATCCTCAAAGGAGTGTGTGGCAGAATTGAGATTCACAACTCTGTGTGACTCCAAAAGTCATGAACTTTCCACTAAACCAACTGATTTCCATGTGTGTGTATATGCACATGTGTTCTGAGTTTATGTGCAAGGGGATTTGAGAATTCAAATCCAAAAGGGTTAAAGGCAAATTCTCCACCATGGTCTTGTACCTTTTCACCAGCTTCTTCCTACGCATCCACTTTGTACCAGTTCCCCACCATGCATGAGCCAGGGGCACCCACACTGCTCTCTTTGTTCTTTTGGCTCTTGTTCCTGTCCAGCTCCTGACCCTTTCTTCAACCTCCTTTTTTTGAGGGGGAACTCATGGTTTTCACTGGATGTTCTCAGTTCAGGCTCCTGCCTCCTTCTCAAGAGCTTTGGCTCAGACCCATTCTCCTTGGTTTCCCCCAATATTGAGGCCATGATTAACTGTTTCCTTTAAAAATGAACATCTACTTCCACTTGGTCACTGCTTTCCCTTCTTTCTGATTTATTTTTTTATTTATAACACCTATAACACATAATACACTATATTTAATTCTATTTAATAATCTCTTGCCTTTAATGTAGGCTCCACGAGAGGGGGGATGTCCTGTCTTTTATTCACTATTGAATCCTCAGCTCCTAGAACACTGTCTGGGACAGAGGAGACACAGTAAATGTTTGCTCAGTGATTTAATAGTATGATAGAATGAATGGTGCTTTGCCTCTAAAACTAGACAGAACCATGTTCAGACCTGAGCTCTGCCACTTACCAGTATGTGACCCTGGGCTATTTAGGCACCCTCCGTGTGCCTCTATTTTGTCATCAATTAACTACGAATCTCAACAGAGCCTCTTAGATGTCCCCAAATATCCATTATCTCCTTTTCCTATATCAGGGATTGGCAAACTTTTTCTTAAATGCTAGAGAGTACTATTTTAAGTTTTGTGGTCCATCCTGTCTTTATTACAACTATTCAACAATGTTATTTTACTCAGAAAGCAGCATAGATAATATATAAATGAATGAGAGTGCCTATGTTACATTAAAATTTTATTTACCAAAATAAGGTTTTTGGATCTCAGACTACAGCTTGTCAGCTCCTATAGCTGGATATACACCTGTCCTAGAGTTCACATTTCCTTTGTATGTGGATCCAGCCAATAGGGTGAGAACAGAATAAGGTGTGAAACTTTGAGAAGGTGTTCTTAAAATGAAAAGTAGATATCATCACTTTCCCCTTTTCATCCTCTCCCCTTTCTGGAATGCAGACCTGAGAGCAGAATTGTGAACTGCCATCTGGGACCACAAGATTGGGGTGGGGCGCTTAGCCTGGTATGCCAGGATAACCTGAAACAGCTGAGCCACACTTCTCCTGGGATAAACATATTTTCATTCTGTACAAGTTACTTATTTTTTTTACTGTTTTTGTTACAACAACCTAACCTTACCTTAACTAACAAGTGATTATAACTATCTCCTAGGTTACTATGATCAGTCAACCCACAGTCTATGTGAAACACTTAATATAGTAGCTGGCATAAAATAAGTAGCAGCTTTCATTATGATTTCTGTTGTTAGTGACTTCATTCCTCTTCTCCCATTCTTCCTCTTCCCTGGTATCTTTAAATACAGTCATGTGCTGCATAATGTTATTTTGGTCAACAAGGGATCATATATATGATGATGGCCTCATAAGATTATAGTATCTATTGATGTTGTAGCCATCTTAGTTTGTGGAAGCACACTCTGTGATATTTTCATAATGAGGAAATCCCCAAAGAACACATTTCTCAGAATGTATGCCATGTATGTCATTAAGTAACACATGGCTTGTAGTTTATCCGAACCTGATTTTGGTTATCTTAAGACCCAATGTTTAGTTGGGCCCAAATACCTTTAGATGGATTCAATAATTACTTTTCCCCATGAGCTCAACAATTTTTTACTCATGTGAGAAGGGAATTTAAATTAAAATAACCCCATTTTCTCAAACAAAATTAAAATAACATAAGAGTAATTAGGGCTTCCCCCTCCCCACATTCCTAACAAGTTGGACAAGCAATTGGTCTTCAAACTAGGCTAGGCATAACACAAACTTGGAGGTTCTCAACTCGGGATGATTTCTTGCCCTCCTACCCCACTGTACATCTCTGGCATTTAGTGGGTAGAGGTCAGAGATACTGTTAAACCCTCTACAACACACAGTAAAACTCTTACAACAAAGAATTATCTGGCCTAAAGTATTAATAGTGCTTCTTTGAGAGAAAGTTGTTCTATAGGTTCATGATGACTGCCCAAGGAGGTATGCAGACAAGGAACATTTTAAGGGAATTCTGTTCTAATTCCCATGTGAATTGCTCTGGAAAACTGATCTGCTGTGTACACACCTGAAGTTGAAGAGCCATTCTAGTTCTGCTTTATCTCTTTTCATGATTATCCTTCTCCCGATTTCTAAGACATAGGTCTATCTATCAGGTATCTTAATGTCAGCATGGCTGCTGTCACCTGCTTTTCTAATGCCCCAGAGAACAGCAGAGAAGAGTAGATGAAATCTGGAGGTTGGAGCACAGTCCCAGGTTTTTATCAATCCTGTCATTTACTAGCTGCATAACATTTATTTATCCACTTATTTACTTGAACACTTTGGAGACTTCTGGTCACAGCATTTTTTTTGTTGTTTCAATATAATTTTACATATATTTCTATTAAGGTGTAAAATAACATGATCAAGAGAAGTTTTTCAAGAATAAAAATATACTTGCCATTAGAATAAAATTCCATAAGAAAAGTGAATGAGAATACGAGTTCAAGAGGAAAAGGCAACTGTGTTAAATGTCTAACCATTTGAAATCTTGACCATTGTATTTTAATAGGTGACAGTGGGTATCAAAATACGATAGTACTTAGTTAGAATCCATTGAAGATGTTAAAAGAATGATGCAAGAGTTTAATTTTAAAC